GACTAAGTCAATGCAATAAGCTTCTAGCACAGATTTTTTAGAATATTATTCGACAGCCATCACCTGGATTGCTCACTTGTCTGCACCCCCGTTTATTTCGACATTATCACATCAACCTCAAGCAAACATTACTAATAGAGATGGAAGCGGCAGAAAAGGATCTACTCAGTGTTTGCACTGCAGATATGATTCACAGATACAGAATCCCAGGTTCCTTTACTGGTGCTCTAAGCCCTTTCTTGCTGAACAGGTTAAATGATGACCAGCAAGAACTGAAACACGTCTTTAACACCAGCCACCAGCACCTGTTTCACCCTGAATTCCTTGAAAACTTTCCCATTCCTCCAGCCACCAGCAGTACCCACTGTTTCTGTTATAGCTTCTTACCGCTCAGACTATGGAAAGACCATTAAGACCCCCCCCCAACCTCCCTCTTTATGTATTTATTTAATTAATTCTTCCTGATGAACAGTTCTAGGGAACTTACTTCAAAGCAGTAATCGATACATCACCATTCGTGTGACATTAACTAACCAGCAGGAACTTCCACTTCCTGTAACACTCTGTGACTTGAAAGTTGTGCAACACCTTTAGTAAACACTTCCTCATATAGGAACAAGAATAAAGCCGAACAACTCCCTCCCTCCCTCTCGTTTGTTCACTGCACAAGAGAGGACTGCTCCAAGCAGCCGGGCTGGGAACCCAACCTTCCCAGACCACTGCCAGACAAGGGCAACTGAGATGACGAACGCACTTCTCCTTTCTGTTGTTTTGCTACATTTTCTCCAACAAGGTATGGCTATTATTTTTTCCCCTCTAATCTTTTATCAGTGGTTCCTATGGCTAACTTTGTACGGCTTTTATGAATTTTTAATTATTAACACGTAGGTAATACGGAAGAACAGTGACTTAAAGCCATTTACAAACGGTATTGCTGAAGCTAGGGATGGTTGCTTTTTTTTCTCTTTTTGTTCGAAGTGATTTTCTAAAATTCTCTAGTTAGAGAAGTATTTACTCGTGTGACAACTGGCCACAGCTTGCCTGAAGACCCAGAACCGGTCAGTTTTGTGAGACAATTAAGAACATACTTCCCCTGCAAGTGAGCGAAAAATTTATCCAACTGGGACAACTTATTACTCTGACAGCACCTTGGCCTTAAATAAAATGACTTTAATTTGATTTCTATTAATGACATTACCTGAATTAAAATAGTTAGCACCCTTATTACCTGCATGGTACTTCAGGTTATGAGTATTTGTATGGCTTTACCTTAACAGATCACAATTTTTTTTCCCCCACGTACATTGTTTCTTTCAATTCATGTCAACAGGGAACAGATTTTTTTTTCAGCGCTTGGCATGCACAAGCATGCACGGGTTTTATCCACATAACTACACGTGTAATTTGTATTCAGGCAGCTATCTTTAAGATTTCCTTATTTGCACAGAATGTCTGAAAATGTGCACAGCACTAATGCTTAAGGTGTTAAATATTTTGTGTTTTGACAAAAACCAAACCTTCATTGTCAGTGAAATCCTCACTAGTGATTTTTCTTCCTGGTTTAGACTCTTGGAAAAGTACATAATGATTTATTCCCTATTAGCACTTTTTGTAGCTGTTGTACGAGGCCCAAGGAATTTTTTTTCCTCCTTAAAGCTACTGACTCAAGACAATGCCTGAAGCCAGACAAAGACAATATACTGAGTTGATTAAAACATTACCTCTAAGAAACGATTTGTTCCAGAACAAAACTAACCTGTTTTCCTCGAAGCACTGTGTGTATCACACTGCAGGAAAAGGATAAGTTCAGGTCTGAGTCTCCATTCAAATCTAGCCTCAACCTGAACCATTTGGGCTTTGGAAAGAGGCTGCAGGAGGGAGGGGATGGATAAAACAGGAGCACAGAAATCTGTTCCGAGAGATGTAAAATATTGCTGTGATCATTACATCAGAACATACTTTAAGCTCATGGAAAGACTAAGTCTGCAAAGCAGAAGATATTTTTTTTTTAAAAGCAAATGTTACTTAAAATAAAATACAAACATCCCTGTAAATTAGAGTGACAAACTTGCACTTTATTACTGCACGTTGTTATTTGCTAACAGCACGTGCACGGGCAGTTACTGTGTCCTGTGCAATGGCTCAGCTCCTGTATGATAACTGCTCGGGATTTATTACCATTACACCCCCATCCCTTCCTTTACAGCACTCAGCTTTACCAAGACACAACCAAGTTTATTCTGCAATTACTTTTGGAAAGGGTTTAATCCCATAAACCCGTTATGAAGAATTAATCTGTTTATTTTACTGAAACAATTTGCACGAGGATGTGCTGTTGTTCCAGATATAGAAAATTACAGTAATTGGATGTCCCACTCTTGTAAAAATCCGGCCTTGAGGCAGACAATTAAAATGGGAGTTGCACTCTCCCTTTGTTGTTTGTGGTTTGGGTTGTTTTTTTTTTCTCAAATACAGGCTCTCGTGCTTCATGCTGAGCCCTCAAGAATTTGCCAATTCAGATGAAATGACCTTTTGTAGGAGATGAAAGAACTCGGGAGGCATATAGAACCTGCTGTTGTCTTGTTGGAAACTACCACATCCCTTGAACGCCCCTGTTTTCTGTACACCAGCTGCTGTTATTAACTTCAAATGATGCAACGTGTGCTGACCACCCCTGCAAGTCACGCCACAAATTAACTTTTGTCAATATTCACTGAGAAAACACAAAGAAACGCTCTTCATCAGCTCTGTATTTGCTCAACAGGGTCTTTAGAGCCACTGCAGACATACGACACACCTTCCAAGACCAGTTAAAAGGGTTAGGTGAGTTAAGGAATCAACTGGATTCCTTACCACCTTCAAGATTTTCCTATTTTACTGCCTATCTCCTAATATTTTACCCAGCCTTGTCCAACTGCCTTCTCCAGCCCTTCTGCTGCCACAAGTACTTCTGCGAGAAGACCAGCTGAAAAGCTTTCTACAGGAGAAGTCTAGGCTTGGTCCAGATTTGTGGTGAACCCCATGAGCTTATTTGCTTATCTAGAGGCAGTCTTAACTTGTATGTCACCATGTGACAAAGTTTAGAGGTCACTAAATGCACAGAACCGTGGACCTGAGTTCACGTTCTCTGCAAAATCTGAAGGCGAAGGTTGCAGCTTGCGTAGCTGGTCTAGCGTGTCGGGACTCGAAACGATGGATTGGCGCGGGGGAAAGAAATGCAAAGTGAGTTGCATAAACTATTTTGACACCTGGAAATAGCCAGGGATGTTAACTCCTTTGAAATCCAGACTGTAACAAACCTGACGTGAGGGCACATGAAGGGGGTGAGCAGAGCAGCTGAGCACGGGCCAGCGCAGAGGATCCACGGGAAACAAGTGGTGCAACAGATGAATGACTATGCAGCCCAAAAGGATGTCTTGACAGACACGAAATACAGTATTTAATCAGCTAATATTGTGTTTTCATAAACATACATCTGTTTCTCCCTAGGGAGCACGAGCAAGAAATTACCTGGAGTTAAGCAATACGAAGTAGTTTATCCACGGAAATTGCACACTGTACATAAAAGAGACGTAGAAAGAGACCAAGAGGTATTGAAAGAGATAACATTTGTTTTCCTGGGAGATGGGGAGGGTTTCTGGAGTCAGAGGACCCTTGGTTTTCAAGGGTAAGAGAATTTGGAGACAGACACTTGATCTTGCAAAAGGCAATGAAAGAGAAGACCTGGAAGAGCGATCCCCTGTCTGGTAGGCACGGGCTGTGAGGTGTGCTCAGGGGACAGCGAAGTCCCTGGATGCCACCCGTGGGGCTTCTGCACTTGTATCTCTGCAAAGGTGTAGGGTTTGGTACTACTTTCAATTTGAGGTCAATTAAATCAAATGCTTAAAAGCAAGCATGCTCTTACTTACTTCAAGAGAGTGTTATGAAAGTGTTTGAATCTAAGCATCTGCTTCAGCACTTTCCCAAATACGCAGGATATGTGCTTATGATTGTAGAAATGCATCTGCAAAGTTACATTTGTTCCTCTAATTAAAAAATATGAAACAGAGTGACCTCCTGCTTATTCTATAACTGCCAGAATACTTATTTTTGGTGGGAAGAGGAGGAAAAGAATGCAGTTGGCAATTCGGTAACAGCCAGCTCCTAGTGAGGCCAGGGATCGTAACAGTCCATATTCTAACACTTCAATCTGTTTACAGACAAAATACGATGACACAATGGAGTACGGAATCAAAGCCAACGGAGAGGAAGTCATACTGCACCTAGAAAAAAATAAGTAGGTTCAGTTCAACTTTTTCCTTGAGCAAAAAATAATAAGAAATGCAATAATCCTTAATAATTCAGCTTCCAGCACTCCCTACTCTAACACTACTGCTGTTGGACTTTGAGTAGTATAATACATAGTGCATTGATAAAATGCTTCATGGAAATTTAAACCATGGAGATCCCACCTCCTTGGTCGAAGAGCTGAACAGCATTGAAACAGGCTGTGCAGAGGGTGCAGAGGAGCAGCAGGCTCTGTTACAGAACAAAGCACCCAAAGAAAAAGTCCAAAACTGCCCAGAGCAACGCAAAATAAAGCCCAGCGGTGACTATCTGCCTCCTGGCTCCACCATAATATTTAACATGGGATCAAACAAGCCTGCTTAATAGGTACTTTTCAAATGGCTGTGTAAATACAATAGTATTATAATCAGTTCATGTTAAATATAGGCTATAATTAACTGCTTGCTTGTTTTAATCTAATCTAAATATTTGGAAGGGGGAAAGGGGAATTATACTGCACTAAATCCCACTCTTTAGAAAGAAATGAGACTGTGGCAGTTTGGGGTAGCTGCCCAAACAGAAGTGGATGTAGACTTGCTTTGCTGCTAGATTAAAGTTAAGCACCTCCGCTGCACAGGAGCCCGAGCGCACAGAGCCTTGCAGCATCTGGCCCTCCACCGCAAATCACAAATGTGTGTGCTGACCAGAAACCCAAAGGCACCCTTCCCAGGGCCGGCAGAAACACCATAATTTATTCCATAGTCGCGATGTCCTCCTCTGAAGGTTCAGGAACATGTGTGTGCACAGAAAGAGTTTTATTTAGCCAGAAAAGAAAAATCAAGCTCAGCTAGAACAAAGATAAGAACTCGTGCTAGCAAAGCTATAAAAAAAGCTGTGAGCCAAAAAACTGGACAAATATACGTTAGTGCGATCTCCGCACAGAATCTGCGTGTGTGCACACGTACACATACGTGTAGGCACGGGCAGACGGGGAACAGCTCCTCCACTGCCCTAGATCTTTGCTATTTATGACCAGTGGGAGTAAACTGGGAAGAGAACAGCGCAGCACCATTTCACAGGCACTGCGGAGTGGGGGAAACGTCTGCACAAACTGGAGACCAAGAAAGGATCAATACTGCATATGTAATTATACATTTACTTTCAGATCTACTAGGAGATTAGTTTATACCAATGAAATAAGTAGACTTGAATTGCTTTCTTATTTTAGAAGTCTCCCTTTGTTTGAGTAAGGATTACGAACAGGCAGAATTCCCCACCCAGCAGCTTTGCTTCCCTGGTTTTTCGATACTAATAATAACCCGAGTAATCATTTGAATTCCCTGCATACTTGGCGCGTTATGTAATTGTCTCATTTCTAGATGACTACAATTTATTTTGAGTAATAATTTCGCTTGTCTCTTTGCAGGCATCTATTAGCTCAAGACTATTCTGAAACAGTTTATTCTGATGATGGTCGACAAATAACAACAAGTCCTCAGATCAAGGTAATAAAAAAAAAAAGTTTCCTTCCCTTATACTTGCAGCCTGGAGGAGGTTCAAATGAGATTCACGGGTCCATGAAATAACAGCACGTATCAGACAGAAAGAAAAGATTTTAAATCAGGTTCTAAGCACTGTAATTTAGGATGTCTCTGAAGGGGCAGGGAAGACGTTACTCGCGGCTTTGGCAGAGCCACACTGATTTACACCTGATGAGAACAGACACACGGCTTGTCTTTCAAAAAGACACTTTTTACCTTGTTGGCTGATGAACACATTTTCTGAGTCAAATTTCTCTCTTTTGTCAGGAAAGGGAGTGGAGCCAGGGCCACTCCACTGCTTTCCTGACTTTGCCCTCCCAACTTTGCAAATTAATCGCAACTCCCTGACTTGCCTTTACACCCTAATCTCCCTGAGATCATACATTCTGATAAAGACCCATTTCCTCCCTGTCTCACATTACCACCCACGCTCCCAGCGAAGGCACTGCAGGTTACCCCAGGTGGTTCCTCTGAGCCATGACCAATCGGTTATTTGGATCCAGACACAAAGGAAGTCACTGCAGGAGTTATTTTTTCATTAACTGTGCGCTCATGGGTCTTATCTTCACCAAAGCTCTCACCTGCAGCCCCTTATCCAATGTCATGCCATGTGTTTTAACACATGAAATTTGGAACACAGAGCCTAACGTTCCTTGTCATGGAGCCACTGGCAGGAACAGGAGGAACTTGAGTGAAATAAATGTGCATACAGAAATCTGGGTTGGTTTTGGGGTTTTTTGCTTTTTTTTTTTTTTTTGTGGAAAAAGATTCCATTTCCGATTGCTCCAATTACTTTCACTCCCTGAATGCATCCTGTAAAAAGCAAATAAAGGCACCTACACCTGGTTAAAGACAATCCCAAACAGGCTGACCTGTGCAGCTTGCTGAATCAAGAATTCCTACATTGTGGATATTTTATTATTTCTCTTCTGTCCTCCTCAAAGGACGGGGAGTAAAGCTCCAGTAATTTTCACTCTGCTGATGTCTTCTTCACTGTAAGAAAGTTAGCACCCTGTGATGGAAGGAAGACACATAAACGTCCAAATATCAACGCGAAAACACAAGGCACAACGCATGCCAGTTTGAATTCTGTGTTACAGGTCTCTCTTAAGAAATCTATTACAGAAAATGCAATGGGTAAAAATTTTCCACACCACCTCAGTGACTTTGAAGTCTCTTTGAGCGCAGAAGTGTTCATTAGACCTTACATCCTTACGTCAATTAAACCGTGAAAAGTTTTCCCCTAATCATATGTTTTAATATAATACCTGCATTTTAATCTCATTGAAGTTAAGGCATTTAATTGTCGGGTTGATGTTAAAGGGTGTTTCCTTGAAATCTGGCCACAATAAAATCATTCAGTACGGAGCCTAATTCAGCCGAGCACATCAGTATATGCTGATTTTGAGCAGCACGCATGCATATTGCTATTTTCACGTCCCGTTGTGTATAGACCAGAGCCCACTGGATCTGTCACAATCTGGGTCACTCTGTGTTGAAGGAGAACAATAACGGCACCGTAGCAAACATGGAAATGGTCACCAGCTTTTTTCATTTGCAGAATCTGCTCAACAGGAGATTTGCTCAGGCAGCGTAGTTCGTTGTAGCTTGTAGTTGGCATAATTTATCTTCTGAAATCACTGGATCTGGGACAATCCATTGCAGTCAATGCGACACGGCCCAACGGGACAATGTATTTTTTCTTTCTGAACAGGATCACTGTTATTATGAAGGTTACATTCAGAACGACGCCGATTCTGTAGCAAGCATCAGTGCTTGCGAAGGTCTAAGGTAAGATGGAATTTGGGATGTTCAAGGTTCAGTATGAAAAGCTCAGTTGAAAGAATCTGCTCATTTCTAACTACTCAAGACACAGTGGTACAACATAAAAAGGCAAGAGGATGGGTGGTGAGCCTGAGAAGCTGCAGCAGAACATGGTTAGTGGAGTCCGGCCAAAGCCCAGACTTTGTGAACTATTCTTGCGTATCTTGTTGAGTTTAGATGTTAGCAGTGACCATTTATTTTGACATTTACTGCTCATAATGATTCAAAATCCTTAATTCCTTTCAATATTTCAGCTTTTCATCTCAATCAAAGATGAAAACCTATCTTTGGATTCCCCATTGAACTGGAATTCACTTTTCAATCAACTCTACTAGTACACAACCCCAAAATTTAAATCTCATTCATTTCCAAACCAGTTTCTTTTTGACTGACAGTCTCCTACTTAGAGACTTTACTGACCAGTCAAATATTCCAGCTGACTCAGCGGCTTTAATTTCTGCTTTAAATTCTTGTCACTGCCTGCACGCTGCCAGAGTATCCCATTGCATCAGTGTGTGCAATGGTCCGTGCGCTTGGGTTACACGCTGTTAGAGGTAGTGTTGCTATCTTGACCAGTCCTGTGGATTCAAAAGATCACAGCCTAACTGATTTTTTTAGTGGATATTTTGAGACCCGTGGTCAGAAGTACCTCATTGAACCCTTGGGAACTTCAGACAGAGAGGAACATGCAGTCTATAAGTATGAGAATCTCGAACAAGAGTCCATAAAAACCTGTGGACTAATCAATAATACCTGGGAAGAGGATTCAAATGACCCCATCAATGACATCTTCAAATCCAGCAACAGTCCAGAAGTAAGTACACAGTCAAGCAACAGCCCAGTAAGTACATGTCAGAAAAGAAATCGTGGCAGTAGAACTCTCTGAGTAGCACAAGTCTCACTCAGTCTGGTGGCACCTCCAGAAAAGCAGCGATCGCGAACAGTGAAGCATAATCAGATCTTAAAGAACCAGTGTAAGATCGCACAGATCTGAGATTTCAGAGGCACCACCTGGGTCAAGCCCTCCTGCACGTACTAATGGGTGCCCACATGCATCTTTAAACATCTAAATACTGCTTAATATCTAGCCTACCTTTCATAATCTTAATAATCATGTTAATATCTAGCCTACCTTTCACCATTTGAAAACAAGGCGGCCCCATCCAAACGGCTCAGCTAGAGAAATACCCTCATCATCACTACACGGGTTTGTAAAGGTTGAGACTGGAACACTTAAGAGTTAATTAAATTTATCTTTTCCTTAGATGAAAGCATACCTGAAAGCAAAAAAATATCTGGAGGTTTACATAGTTGCAGACAACACTTTGGTGAGTATTGAAATGTTTTTCTTCTCATTTGACCAGCTAGAGGGGAGCTTTCCAAAGCAGGTGGCACTCATATCGCTGGGCTCCTGCTACACTTGCAGTGCTAGGCTATGTTAACCACTGACTTCAGGAACAGGATTTCCTCACGTCGACTGATTTTGAAAAAAAAAATAAAACAAAAAGTAGACCAGCCATGGTGTGGTTTGCAATGCAATCTTCTGTGGGATACTTCTGATAAATCACTTTTTTTCCCCTCCTTTTCCTAACACACTGTAATCACTTTTTTAGTATAAGAAGTACGACGAAGATGTTAAAACTGTGAGACAAAGGATATTTGGAATAGTCAACTACATCAACACGGTAAGAGCAAAACCAGCAAAGTGAGGTTGAAATCCAATTGATTTATAACTTTTTTTCTTTTGCAAACATCATGAATTTTCATTATTACCTGTAGGAAAGTATGAAAACCGAACTTCTTTGTGATTTATGAAACAAATCTGTCCATATTATCCTGCTCTTTGCCTTCAGATAAGAGATTTCTATAAAGGAAGATTTATGCTGTATTTTCTTAACACTTGTTAAAGTGAACGACTGAAATCCTTCAAAAAGAATGGAGGGATTCTTGATTTCTTTTGCAAGTCAAATGTCTTCAAAAATATTGCTGGAATTTTCAAGCATTTTAAAGCCATTTTTCTAGTTGGTTTAAACGTGAGGGGAAATAAGATTTCATGTTTTGTTTGTTGGGTTTTTTTATTGCCACTTCAAAGAGCAGAAAACCTTAAATCAGGTCTGGAGTGGACTATATTGCACATGACCAAAGTGAACCAGTTACCAGGATAAGTGTTTGTTGCTGAAGTCTTCATAACATCCTTCGTTTCACAGCAATACTGTCCTCTGCTGCAGGTTTATAAGGCCATAAACATCTACGTGGCTTTAATTGGTCTAGAAATCTGGACAGACGGTGACAAATGCCTCCTGAGCCGTGCTGCAGGATTCACTCTGGACAGTTTCTCCAAGTGGCGTCTATCGGATTTACTAAAGAGGAAAAGAAACGACAATGCTCAGCTCTTAACGTGTGTATCGTTCTGTTTCCTATTTGCTTTTCCAAATGCGTTGAAATAATTTGCTCTTTAAAAATTGGTCACCAACCCAGAGACACTGTCTATACTGAACCGCAATTCATTCTTTCCAGGATCAGGTTATACCCACTATAGAACAAAAATGTCAACGCAGGCTCTGTTTTCTTGCTTTTATTTTCTTCACGAAGCACAATTACCTGCCAGAACGCAGTATCTAATTTTTCCATCCAAATCCCTACAGAGACAGGCAACATCTCAATCTCTCCTTTTCCCTGCTCCGGTCACAGAACACTTGAGTGTCCTGAAGACCGCAGCACAGTCTAACGACCCGAGGAGCCATGACACGAGGTTTAACGGCTGGGAAATGCACGTTGCCAAACTAAACCAGCACCACTCCACTATCCTGGCTCGCGTTCAATGGTCCTGATTCACCCAAGCACTTTGCTACATTTCAATCACTTCATCAAGCCCTTCACACTCAAACAGATGCTTTAAGTCTGATGAACTGCGATGTAATTGAAGTAAAAATCTAAAATGAAAAGCGTATTGAATTGTTTTCTGATTTGCAGTGATCTTAAGCATGTCATCAAACATTGTATTAAATCAGAGACGCAAACCAGAGCTGGGAGCGAGTACCCGCGGAGAGCCTTCCGCCTGGTTAGCAAAGCAGACCTGACCCCAGCTCTGCTCCCCGGTCACTTCGCTGCATTTCACTCTGCGCTTCTTCTTCCTTCCAGAGGCTACGACTTTGAGGGGACAACGATTGGATTAGCCTTTCTGAAATCCATATGCAGTGATATATACTCTGCAGGTATTATTCAGGTCTGATTTACTTTTGTTTATTTTATTTTTTTAAAGGCTTTTCTATGTTTTTCACTCAACCAGCAAAGGTTTATGGAAATTATTGGGTGCACGACACTTTCAGTTCTCTGTCTGGTTCATATCACTACTTTTTTAGACTGTGGAAATTCACAGTCTGAGATTTTGTTTTAAAGGAAGTGCAGAGTATAAAGAAGTGACACACAAAGCATGGTATCTATGTTATCTAAATACCAACATCAAACTCGGATACTCGGAATACCAGGCGCCAAGAGAGTCAAAGGAGAGAAATAAATGATTTTGTGCCTCTACCTTAAGGTTCCCTGCTCTGACCAGGGAACTGGTTGTGACTGTCATGATGCATATCATCAGTTTGGCCACTTAATCCCAGCTGCCTGAACTACTGTACTTAAACTTCAGCCTAAACAGATCCAAAACTTTACCAACAACACCGGGAACTCAACTGTTGCACCCAGCTTCAGAAGCTGGGCTTGTTGGTAAGAGGAATAACCCCCGTGAAACCCCAGCTTTCCCACACCATAAGGAAATCCTAGGATGACCATAAAACCAGAATGCTTTTCGAGGTGAGGGGATGCATTTTGTAGCTGTGGGATTTGCAATCCCATGCTGGAAGAGTACGATCAGCACACCATCTGTGCTTTACGCATTTCCACCACCACCTGCGGTTCAGACATCTGGATTTCACTCCAAGGCAGCACCAAACACCGAGCTAAGAGTGAAGATGGAGGGAGCATCTGCCTTTCCTTGCTGTACACACACACCACACTGTATATAATAGTCACCTTGGTGTAACGAGTAATAATTATATTGCACCCATGTAATTACCCTAAGCACGGAGACAGCTATCCAGAAAGGATTAAATGTTTCAGATGTTCAGTTCCTCTTAACTCGCAGTTGTTACTTGGCAGCCTGACTTCCTCATGTTTGTTTAAAAACTAATTATATCCATTTACTCATGTCCGTTAGTGGTATCATCTCCTTGCTATTATAATACAATCCAGCATAAACCGTGGAATAGATGCACGCAGGGGTTGAACAACATATCAATCCTTGTGTAGCCCTGAGAATAATTTCACTTGAAGGAAATTTGTCCTATTTCTTAGCCACACAGCTTCTCTGATGTTCCTGCTTGTTCTAGAACACTCACAGAAATCACTAATAGTCTGTTCTTATCTCTACAGGATCACAACAGAAACGAAATTGCAGTTGCAGCTACCATGGCACACGAGATGGGACACAACCTCGGCATGAGTCACGACACTGACGCCTGCACATGTAGTGCTAAAGTTTGTATCATGACAGATACTGTCAGGTAGGAGTTTGGATGAAAAGGCGAGGGTGTTAACGCACCGGGCGGTTAAGGATGGCGTTTCCAAAATGGAGCAGAAATTATTTTTGTCCTCTGAGATTATTCCGATCAAATAATACAAAAAGAAGAGAAAAATGACAAAATTCCAGCCATTGTAAGATATTCCCAGGTGGATACTCTCCCCCAAGAAAACCCCAAAACAACAACAAAAACCAGCTTTAGTCACTTTTGGATAACATAGCTTTCCATGTGTGGTGGGGCCTTCACTTCAAACCATAAATCATTTCTTCCTTACAATGAAACTACTCGAAACTGCTGTGGTATCTCAGAGCCTGACAAAGATTTACCTAAAGTATATTTTTGTCCTCTACCCTGAAGAAGCCTCCTGTGAAAACCACACAAAGTGCCTGCACCTCCAAAAACCACCCATTAGACAGAACCTGAGTTCAGTTTTCGTCTCTAGTTGAATACCCTGAGCCTCTGCTGGACAGCCGAGTGGAAAACTCCTAACGCCTGAAGCATCAGGCTCAAATTACATAGACCAGGCTTAAATCTTCGAGATGGGGATTTAATGCAGTGTTGGCGTTTAGTACAGTAACTTTTTTCTGGTCTGTTTCCATTTTTCTGCTCTAAGTAGGAAAGAGCCATTGTATTTATTAGTATATGTCTTGGGAATAACGGTTGCAGCCAATAGTTTGGGGTATGGTCACTTGTTTCATTTCTCTTGTAAAGGGCATTGCCTCTCCTTGCCTGTGCCAATCCCAACGTAAATCCTCCTGCTTTCTCCATATAGTTCTATCATCCCCAAGAAATTCAGCTCTTGCAGCCTCCAGAGTTTTGAGAGATACATGTTGAGCGAGATGCCAAAATGCTTAACTAACATCCCAGACATGAGCAGCATCATCGCACCTCCAACCTGCGGAAACAGCTTTGTGGAAAGAGGAGAGGAATGTGACTGCGGCACTCCTGAGGTATCTGCATAACCCAGAATAAAATAATATTTGGAGGAAGCAAAGAGTTTTATTCTGGCTGCGCAGCAGAGGGTTTCTGTTAGTTTCAGAGGTAGCCAGTTCAAAGCTGGCTGAAATATTTCTGTAGAAACTGTGGTCACCCCTACAAATCGCATGCCAAAGGGTGGGAAAGATGGCTGCACGGTTTGTCATCCTGCGCTGACAGAGGAACTGAGAATGGGGAAAAGTCAGAACAGAACCATCGCGGTAGAAATAAGCAAGTTCCCCGCAAAATTTCTATCTATTTATTTTCATAAACATGCTTTGCATTCATCCATGCGCCCACTGACACTGGCTGGCACGGCTTCTAGTGACAATGGTTTTCAGGAAAGCAACGTGCAGGTCCCAGATAGCCTTCCCTCCCTCGATAACCCCGTCCGGGATGGTTCGTGGAGGGGATCAGCCCCTGGAGCAGGAGCTCTGATTGCCTGTTCTGCCACAGGAGTGCACAAATGACTGCTGCGACCCCGAGACATGCAAGCTGACGGCGGGTTCCACGTGTGCACATGGAGACTGCTGTGAAAACTGCCAAGTAAGACTCCTTTCAATCTCTTTTTTTTGCCCATGAGAAAGTAGCACTACACCTTTCCAAAGAACCAGCCCTCTTTACCTGTAATCGCTGACCTAGCACTGCGATGACAAGCGCGCTTTGTCCATCCCGAACTACACCACAACCATCAATTCACTCAGTCTTTCAGCATCCTGGAGAAATGAGCGTTCTGGTTGCCCGTTTTCTCCTGGAAAGAAAAGCCGAGGCACAACCAAGGCAAAAAACTCGTCTATGACATAACCAATTTTAAATTAGATACGGAACTGGCCCCTCATGCAACCTGTACAGCAAGAATGAGATTTTTCTCCCCTAACCTTAGCCCTCTAGTTCACTGTAATTTCTAACTAGCATGGAAGAGCACTGTGTTAAGTGTGGCACTGCTCTCCTCCTGCAGTACAAAAGCTCAGGAGCTGTTTGCCGAGCAGTGAAGCACGACTGTGACCTGGCTGAGATGTGCACCGGCTATTCTGCCAATTGCCCAGCGGATCGATTCCGTGTGAACGGATATCCCTGCAACTACGGCGAAGGCTATTGCTACATGGGAAGCTGTCCCACGCGAGAAAACCAGTGCAAAGCTGCTTTCGGACCGCGTGAGTACCAGCTGGCATTGAAAAATCAGGTTGCCTAGGTCAAAAGAGAGAGAGGTGGGCTTTGTCTGCTAGCACAAAGACCTTTTGTAAACCAGGAACGGAGTATCTACGTAAGAGTTCTAGTCTGTAGCATACACTTTATTATTATTATTTTTATATTTACCCTGTAAGTGATGATAATCATGTGAGCCGAAGCTCCGAGCATATATTTCTAGAGAAAAGGGAAGTGGTAAGCGTATTCCTCTTTTGCACAATGGTTTTAAGACAACTTTGGAATAGAGCTGCGTGAGTATTCTTTGCTTGATAAGAAGAGGAAATGTCTGTATTTCAAATTAGTGTCCGGATTTAGCCCGCCTTTATGTTTCTGAAGGTGTATGGTGGCTTACCCTCTTCCCAGTCCTAAACCATCTCCAGTTCTGACTGTGTCCCTTCTCCTCAGCAAGGTCGATAGGTTTGTACTGGAGAGGGAGAGAACACCCAGGACAGGTTCTGCTGTGTGTACACAATTTAATTTAATGCATGAGGTGCCAGAGAGTCATTTAGGCCCTTGGGCAACTTCACCGGGCAAGGCCATTTCCTAAACAGGCAAAGGAAATTGAATATTATTAGTCTGCACAGGCAGAGAACCTAAACTAACCCCACTGCGTTTTCCTCTTTCACAGAGGCTACTGAAGGTGCAGCTTCCTGCTACCGGATGAACGAGAAAGGGGTATATTACGGATACTGCAGAAAAGAAAAAGGTAGTCACGTCCCGTGTAGAAAAAAGTAAGCACTGTGTTACAGAATTTGCTGGGATTTGGGAAGAGAGACCGTTCCTATTCAAATTAAGAGACTGAAGCAAAGAGCACGCTATTCTAGATGGCACACGTGTCCGTTTGTCCCTTCTTGATCACTGTGAATATTGTGGCAAAGACAATGCTAAGAAAACTAGTTTTTGCTTGTGAGGATGACTCTGTGTGTGTGCATGCATGTGCAGGTAAGTACAGGGGAGGGATTTTTGGATAAAAAACTTGAACCTCAGGTAAACCCCAGAAGTTGAGGACAGGTCAGTTAAACACTCACTTCTGCAAATTTACTGCGGGCTCCCTAATAAGCTAAAGAGGAATTAAGAACCTGCCACTTTCTACTCACAAACCAACCTGAAAAGACCACGAACCAGAATTCCCTTCTGCAGCTATTTCTTTCAAGCTCCTGTAGAAACACAACAAATCCAAGCCAGAGGAGAGACCAGCTCTGACAGTTTTGCTGTGCCACGTCGTTCCTCTAGCAGCTCTTGTTCTCCTTCCAGAGATATAATGTGTGGAAAGCTGTTCTGTACTGGGGGGCAGGAGATGCCTCGGGACGGGAGCCTGGTGACGTTTGAGTCCTGCAAAGCAAGTTTCCCTAGAAACGGAGAAGTAGACCCAGGGATGATTCTCAACGGAACAAAGTGTGGGAATGGGATGGTTAGTAGAGAAAAACTTCTCTCCTTATTTTTTCCCCTCTTTCAGTCTTGCTTATATCATTAGCTCTTTTACCAGACAAGAAAGATTTTAAATAGAGAAGACTGAAGTGGACACTAAACTACTGATCTCATTTGCCAGACCTTCTGCCTGGCTCCTATCACAAAGCAAAGAGGAACTTCTGTTGTTCCAAATTCCTTATGCTTGACTGCTGTCTTGTTGTTTTTCACTAATAGAAATATATGTAGCAGCAGAAACATACCTTTGTATGAAGGGTTAAAAGATCATACACAAATTACTATTTTAAAATTATTAATTATA